AAAATAACTTACAGAAATTACTGGTATCCGTAGATTAAGAGAGTCATGAGAAACAACACAGCACGGATTCACCCAGCCTTGTTTATATTGTTAATCCTTCTCCTCTGATCCTCTGCTTTTATTTTTGAGAAAAGATGGTGTAAAAAGGAGACAATGCATTCAAGACACAGGTATTTGCAACTGTGCATACTCACTTGTGCTGGACAGTTGAAACTCATTATTTTGAGTTCAGAAGTGGCTACTTTGGGGTTGGTCTGTGTGAGAATAGAGTTGGTCCTCTGTATCTCCTGACAAGTTTGTTTTCCACTGTTTGTTTTTACTAGGCAAACAGACTCTGACATACTCTCTTTTCCTCCTAGATGTAACAAAGCATCAGCCACTGATATGTCAATAAATATTATATTAAGAAATGTTTTCTTCATCTTAAGTTAGGAAAGAGACAGAAGTTTCAAACTGGGATCTGGGATTTGATGCCCCATTGGTGCAAATTGCTACTTATTCATCCATCCCAGCATTCATGGTAAAGACATTTGACAGTAGCAGTACTGAATTCACTGGAGCTGTGACTAACTTAGCTGAGCTCTGCCCCAGGAGACTAGGTCAGAATTGTCCTCCAAGCTGTGGCTTTTAGCTCCCTAAACGACTTGAACAAATAATTTCATTTCCTTTGCCTCTATTTCCATACATTTAAATAGATCCTGATAACATCCATCTCAGTCTCACAATTTGTCAGGCATACTTAAACCTGCTGGAGAGTATAGTGTTAAACATCTGCATAGATGTATGATAGAAGCACAAAGATGGGGTAAGACTTGTGGTGAATAAAGGCCTGTTGTAAAAAAAAAAAAGCCACCAACAAAGCAAGAAAGTAGTCCAGATAAAAAACAGCATCAGAAACTGGGCTCCCAGTTGGGAACAATCAGCTCTATCTCTCCCTGCATGACAGTTACTCTGCCAAATATCTGAGCTTGGAAATTCAAAGAAAGTTCATTAAAAATCTTTTATTTCCCAGTTAAGAATATGTTCTTCCTTCAGTAAAATTGAGGAAATGTTGTCAAGTTACGTAAAGTGTTATGTAACAATCGTTTCATTTCTGTTGTATTACCCTTTTTTTTTTTTTTTTTTTCCTGACAGAAGTGCATTTTAGATTAATATTTAATGCCTTTGCTTGTAAGAAAGTATCTTTGAATCACTTCAGTCTGCTGCTGGCTTCAGGTTCCTGGAGGAGCTTCATGAGCTGTCAGCTACCATGACTGGAAAGGGAAGGTGCAGCTCAGGAATACTGTCTCTGTGTAGCAGAGCTATACATTTCTCTTTAGAAATGAGCAGAAGATAGCAAAACCTATCACCCTAGAGCATCCACAGGATAAATTGCTGAGGAGCATTTGGTGCCACTTGTTGTGTGCAAGGGAAAGAGTGGGAAAAACAGCATAGGCACAGAGTCCCTCTGAATGGAGACAGAGCCCTCTGAGTCTTTAGCTTAATTGTAGCACACAGAATCTTTGCTACAAAGTAATACTTTTTCTCATTCTTAGTTTTTTGTTTTTTTCTTTTTTTAGCAGCAAAAGCAATTAAAATATTCATTCAACATATTGTGGTTTAAAAATATAATTCACAAAGATCAGCAGGCATGTTTTCTATCTGTTGTTCCTGATATTACTCATGACACCAGGCAACTCATGTATTTTTTAACTGTATTCTTTCTTCTATCAGATCTTGTTTCTTTTCTGAGGTTGAAGAGTGAAGCTCTGTGGTTGATTCACCTTTTGTAGAACTGATGCATAAATTCTTGTTCCTAGTCTCTTTAGTAAATGTCATCTGTTTTGTCATGTAGGTGGCTCTTCATGTAGCATGCTTGGGTTTTAAAATCTGGTTAGTAGGGGAAGCAAATGTATTTTTATATGAAGGTCAAATGGTAATGGATTGTAAACCCAAGCAAACAAAACAAGCAAGCTTCACCCCCCACCTCTGCCAGATTGACTTGGTAAATTTTCTTATGGCTCAGAAATGAGCTAGTTATTCAATTGCAAATCATCCTGTTCACATGGAAAATATTTGACTAGTGATATATTTTGCAGCACCTTTTCTCTTTGACCTGCTTTTCTCATTTCTAAACTGAAAGATGTCATGGATTCTCCAAGTAGCAGAAGCATAAACTCAACAAATTGGTGAACTTTTCTGCCTGAAATTGATATATTTTACCAATGTCCATTCATATCTCTTCATGCATAGTGTAGTGCTAGCTGCCATATTCTTTGAGGTGACCTGCATTATACTCAGAAAGTTGCATGTGGGTACTGATATAATGCCTACTTAAGGAAAAATATCCTAGTTTATCTTTAAACACTATTACTTTGGCATTTACACCAAAGCTGTGTGCTAACTGTATAGATATTAAAACATCTTAATTCAACACTGTAACATCATGGTGTATATGATTTTTGATAACACAGCTGTTCTATTTTTTGGTTTTGCTGTTATTCAAACAATAAGACTATGCCAGATAAACTTGAAGAAGAAAGGGGGAACTTCTGGTTTAGCAGTAAGAAATTTCATATAGCTCAATTTTGGAGCCCTAAGGTCTGAATCACTTTTCTCTCTTTATTTGAAGTGAATCATAGATTCACATAATCATTTAGGTTGGAAGCAATCAAGATAATCTAGTCAAACCATTAACTCACCACTGCAAATTCCACCAGTAAGTGCCAAATCTGCAAACCTTTTAAATATCTTCAGGAATGGTGACTCCAGCATTTCCCTGGGGAGCACATTCCAGTGCTTGATAAGCTTTTTGGTGAACAATTTTTTCATAATACTTAACCTAAACCTCCCCTGACATAACATGAGGCCATTTTGTCTTGTCCTACCACTTGTTGCTTGGGAGAAGAGACCAACTCCCACCTGGCTACAGACTTGTTTCAGACAGCTGGAGAGAGTGATAAGGTCTCCCCTGAGCCTTTTTTCTTCCAGGGTAAACACCAGCTCCTTCAGCTGCTCCTCTCAGGACTTGTGCTCCAGACCCTCCCCCAGTCCATTGCCCTTCTCTGAACTTGCTCCAGCACCTCAATGGCCTTCCTGTAGTGAGGGGCCCAGAGCTGAGCACAGGATTTGAGTACTCACCAATGCCAAGCAGAGGGGGAGGATCACTGCCCTATTGCTGCTGGCCACATTACTGCTGATACAGGCCAGGATTCCATTGGCCTTCTTGGCCACCTGGGCACACTGCTGGCTCGTGTTCAGCTTGCTGTAGACAGTTCTGTTAGCATTCCGGAACACACATAATCACAGGATATGATTATATGCAGGTGCTTTTATTAAGAGCTCTGGGAGTAGGGGTACAAACCCAAATCTGACTCCGACATGGCTTTCGAGCTGAATGTATTTTATATTCTATCATTATATAACTTACATATTAATTATTAAACTTATACTGTTCTATTGTATACATTGACATGAGTTTCTCATGATCTTTCTTAGGTCCTTGACCACAGTTTCTCATGATTATTCTTATGATTAAACAGTAATTGTATTTAATTACTAAACAATCATCAATCTAACAATTATACCATTTATCATGTACTAGCTACACAGGTGCAGTTCTAGCAAGTACTAGTTCTCCATGTGCTTAGGGTGTTTATTTTTCCAGGGCCTACTAAGCTTATTTTTCATTTTAACCCTTAATCCCCATGATTTTAAAACGCTTTTTCTATCAGTTCTTTTTCCAATAGCCAGCTTTCCAACCACTCTCCCGAAAGCCTGTAGCATTGCATGGGCTTGTTGTGACAGTAACACAAGACCCAGCACTTCATCTTGTTTAAGCTTGTGTTGGATCCATGAAATGCCATAAATTGGTTCTACATAAAGGTTTGAAGTTAGTAAATGAAGCTTGAATTCCTAATTGGTTTTATTGTACTTCAACTGTTTCGTTCTTCTAAGATTTCCCCCTGCAAAGCCCCAAGAACACATAGCCGTGCAAAAACTGCTTCACACATATTTCAAATTTTTTGTTGTCCTAAATGTGAAATGGCCAGCTGAAGTGCCTGGCTTGTTTTAGGTCTTAGCCAACTACACATACAGGGAAATTTCTTGACTTCTTCAGAGTTGTCTGTGTAATTTGAAGCTAAAGCATTGTACTCTTCAGATGTTAGTTATGCGCCTGTGGTTTCTTAAAATTAGATCCAAGACTGATTACTCTATGAGGAACAAATAGTGCCACAGAACAATAAAGAAGTATTTGTTTGAAATGATTTCATAATAAATTGTACTTGGTATTCCTGACCTTCTTGATCATTTGTCTCAAATATTTTTGTGTTTTTTTAGAATGATTTTTATGTGAGATACCACATTAGAAATTTATTTTTTAGGCTACCTTGGGTACGCATAAAACTTCTATTCCTGCATCACTTAAGGGTCTCCCTCAATATTGCTAGAACAATCTTACCACGAGTTATTTTTCATCCTTATCTTTATGTTTCTGGTGATTCCTCCTTTTCCTTTCATCATTGCTCATCCCAATTCAGTTGATAAAATATTCTTACTGTGACTATTGTAGTTGTTCCCATTCCCAGTAATTAAATGTAAAGGCAGGACTCCTAAAAGCTTGATGACATTAAGTGGTTTTTTTTTTGTTTGCTGTAGCCTTGTGGTTTTTTTCTCTAGCTTGCAATGTGTTACAGTCTGAAGGAAGCAACGTTTCTCCAACACAGAAGAAACTCTTGCCAAGGCAAACCTTGACAAACCATGAGAAACCTTGATGAGGCAACACTCTTGACTAATTTTGGCTGCTTTTACGGAAGATCTAGTTTGTCAGTGTACAGTTATGTTGCTACTGAAATAATACTAGGAATCAAGGCAGTGAAATGTAGCAGCTCTGTGGTGCTACCAGCACACCTTTGCTGGCCTGCAGCTTGCATAAAACACAGCTTAATTACATTGAACAGTGTTTATTCATACTAGTGTTCATTGCCTAACTGTATGATTATCACTTTGGCCTGTTTCAGATAAGAAGACAAGGCGGAATACAATTACTGGTGGACCTATTGGACCATCGGATGACAGAAGTCCACCGTAGTGCCTGTGGAGCTTTGAGAAACTTGGTATATGGGAAGGCAAATGATGACAACAAAATAGCTCTGAAAAACTGTGGTGGTATCCCAGCATTAGTACGGTTACTCCGCAAGACTACAGATTTGGAAATCAGAGAACTGGTCACAGGTTTGAATTTTTCACTGTTTTTTGTTCGAACTCTCTGTCAGTCTTGCAAGCACAGTTCTGTGCCGCATGCCACTTGCTCCAGTCAGTAACTGTTTCATTACCATCTTATTTGCCATAACAAAAAGCTTTCAAACCCTTTGGATTTATGTTATGTATGAATGGCTTTTAATATCATGCAGTTTACAGATATAGGTATGGTTTATGCCTGTCGTTGCTGGTTCCCTTTGCTCTTGGTTAGCCGTGAGTGCTCCTGTGGTAGATGTGTTCCACACATGGATATGTTGTGGTGGGAATATTCTGCTCTCCCTCCTGTGTGGTGTAGGGCTGGCCAGGCAGAAGCCATATTTCACTGAGTATACTTACAAACTGTTATTCGTTGCTTTTATATCCCATGTAGTGATGTTGTGAGAGGGAGGATTTGTTCAGGGGTTTTCTGCCTTTCTCAGGGTTCTGATAGGAAAGTGGAAAACTATGTTGAAGAGTGGACGTTATCTTCTGAAGCCTTTTGTCTGAAATTTTATAGCATGCTATGTGATGTGTTTTACACAGAGCATGCAGGTAGTGGTAGTTTATTTCTTTTGATGGAGGAGAATCTGGTCTTCTCAAGATTGTGTGGATTTTTTCCTTTCTGAAATTCAAGAGGGAGGGGACGGGTGGTAGTGTTCAGGAATACAGGAATGCTGTCAAACAGAACTGATATTAAATATTTGGAGTTTTTTTTCACCTTGCCCTTAAGCTAGTGTATTTAATATGTAAAAAAGAAACAAGGTAGATTTTTTTTTTTCACTTTGTGATTTCATTCTATTTGGTGATTATTTAACACTATAAACCAAAAATATTTTCATTATCTTCTTTCCAGTTTTCAGTTGTATTTTCATTATGACTTTCCTACTAAAATATGTAAGAAGATTTGTCATTTCTGTCACGAATCATCATGTCACATCATCTATGTATGTGCAGAAATTACTTACCCTTGTACATCAGGCCTCATTTAGGATACAGTTGATAAGATTATCATCCTTTTTTTGGGTCCAGGTTCCTTCCGTGAGGGTGTATGAATAAATTGCATGGTGTTTATTAAATGTAGATTTTTTTATATTTGATTTTGCTTCTTAGTTACAACAGTTGTCACCTCCTACTTATTAGTCAGGATTAATGGGGCAGAGATTACATGAGTTTGGATCGTGCCTCCTGTGGAGTGACAGAATTACTGACAGATTGATAAAGTGTAACCACTGTTTCATATTCAGCATACTTGTTTGTCTCTTGGTTACGTTGTCAGTATCCTGGCTCCAGGGAACATTCTGCCTATTTATTCTGAGTAGTAAGTGGCAAACTGCTAATACACCTCAGCAGTCACTGTGGCACTTCCCATGCCATCTGTGGATGGAATAGACAATGTCATTAGGTCATTTGAAAATATATACTGGTTCCATTTCACAATATACAGTTAAATATTCCCAAATTCCCACAGAAAGAAAGGATGTTTCTTTCCTAGTATGCCCTCAAAGTGTTATTGCAAGAGGAGTAGGTACTGACCACCAGTGAGGGGCAGTAACCTGCCTTTGTACAGGTAGATGCAGCTCCCAGGGATGGTAAGCATCAGGAGTACTGGATGTGTATGAAAGGGGAGAAGACCAAGATGGTGACCCTGAGGAATGGAATCAAAGTCGGTGATATTTACAATTTTTTATTCCTGAACCTTTTTTTGTACTGGAGTTTTTTGTTTGTTTTTAATAGCCACTACATCTCCGAAGGCCACTGCTTGCCCTGGCACACAGTGCCATGTTTTCTGAAAGGCAGACATTTTGTGCCTTTCAGAATGCAGATAGATCACTGGCCCTTGCTTTCTAAATGCAGATTTGTTTGTGGTAGTGTTCTGCAAAGCTTCCTTCCAAAGCAAGGCTTGTAGCTGCAGTTCTCATCTTGCATCTCTTAGGAAACAGGCTAAAGTCATGCATCTGAATCAGTTCTCCTTTCCTTTTTATTTAGGTAAAGTTTTGTAGTGTGACAGCTGAATTCCTTCTTTCTGTCCTTTCTGGGGAATGAAAGGTAGCTCCTGCAGCAGCTCCCTTGGTAATGAGAAGATTTGACTTGGTGGCAGGCATAAGGAAAAAAAAAAAGTTCCTCAAGTTCCTCATGGTTTCCATCAGCCTTCCTGAGCTGAGGTGGCAGGAAGATAATTATTTCAGTAGGGGCTGACTGGAGGACATGCAGAGAAAATCATAATAAATGTCTGTTTTGGGAGTAAACATAATACCTTGAGCCTTTCCATCTCATGTTCATTGTGCATCCTGTCTATATAAAAGCTGCTCTTGTTTGTTACTTTTAGAGAGGACACAAAGTTCATGCCCTAGGAATTCATACAGGCTCTGACATGGCTGCCCCTAAATAGTCATCCACATTTGTCTGCAGAGCACTTCTCTTAGGTGGGGAAGTATCATTATCTCTGTCCTGCAGATGGGAGCTGAGCCTATCAGGTGTAAATTACCTGTCCAGAAATCTGGCAAGATGAAGGTGTGAATCACTCTGAGTAGGCACCCAGCTGCAAGGGGAGAAATATGGCCTGGAGAGGATTTTTAGCAGCTCAGTTTGTCTGCCAGTACTGAAGCATTCATTGCCTGCCCCTAGTACGGTGAAGCACTTGCCCAGCAGAGAGAAAGTTATGATATTAGTTTCCTCCTCAAACATGCACATTCTCTTCCTTCTTGTTGCTCTTTTCTAAGTAGATTATAACTTCCATTTCTGGCAATCTCAAAACTGGTTTTGGAAGGGTATTTAGACCTGCAGACCAGCTTTCTAGCCCAGTAGCTCCTTGATTGTCAGGATTGCCTTTGGCACCATTTGTGGCTTGTCCTCTTTTCCAGAGATTTCTCTCTGCCATAATCTCTCCAAAACAGATTTTTTTTCACTTTTTCTCTTATCTTGTCTTTCTCCTCCTCAGCAGCAGAGGTCTTGGGCTAATACTGGAAAACCTTACCCTGCTCAAATTTTTGGATTGCACAAATATAGCCTTATAGCAAAGTGTTAAAGCTTCAAGGCTGTCTTACGTCAAGGAAATGGTTTCAGTGCAGGCTCCCATGAAGAAGCTCTGAGGGAAATGTGCTGCCTGGCTGTTATGAAATTAAATGGTGTTAATGCCCAGGAAATATTTCCTAAGATATGGAAAGATTATTCATACAGAAACATTTCCACAGTTACAGGTTTTTACTAGAAGAACATGGATAAAATTAGGTATACCCATGAATATATACATTTGTGCAAAAGTGAAATACTCTGATAGAAATAGAGATGTTAGCATGGCCTACAGCCTCTGGTAATTTCCAGAGACTCAAGGAGAACCTGAATCATAATGTAAGTCTGTAAATGAAAAGAAATAGGTGTAAGCTGAATGCACACTTAACTTAGCCCAGCACTGTGCTGCCAGTTTCCACATTAACACCTGTTAATGGGAAAAAATAAAAGCCTTCTATTTTAAAATAATTAAATGTTAACACTTTTCTAATAAATATAAACAGAGAGGAACACAGTACAAAATTAGCACAGATCCTGCAGATGGTAGAAAGAAATGTTTTCACTTGATAATAATGACAATGAGTAACTGATTTCTGATTTTCTTGTCTGTAACAAGTTAATTATGAACTCTTCCACAAAATTCTATTTTATAATTTTTTTTATTTGTTTTACTGTCAGGGAAAAAAAAAACATGGAAAAATCTGACATTTTAGCAAGGATAACAGAGGAATCCCATGGATGCCTTGTGCAAAAGGTGAGGTCAAGCAGCTGTTGCTAGATCCTTTCCAACTCAGGCCATTCTATGATTCTGTGATTCAATTTATGCTTGCTCTTTCTTCCATCATCTTGATTGGTTAACTGGGTACCTGTCTCAGATGAAATTATTTAAGCTGCTATTCTTCTCAGTTTCAACAAATAAGATCCTTCACAGCTAGAAAGACAGTTTCTGCCTATGAACAATGAGGTAGCTGGATTTAAAAAACTCCTTTTAAAGCAGGTCTTTGTATGACTGCATCACCTGTTTACAATCTTTAAATACAATTTTTGATTGAAAGATAAAAGTGGATAATCCACTTTTAGAAAGTACATGATGATAAAGAGCTGCAGCTATAAATAGTCAGGAGAAATTGGTTTTTTCTGTGCTAACAGCCAGTCTCCTGCTTATTTTGGTTGACAGTAAAGTGTCAGAGATTTAACTAATGTCTACTGAAAATATATAAATTTTAAAAATGATCACATAAAAAATTTATAAAGCAGAAGCTATCTAACACTATACATATATACTAAATATTGATAGGTAGATACTGACTCTGTGTGTTTCATTCACATTTTTATTCACTGAATCAAATGACCTATATTCCATTCTTACAAAACATTACAAGATACTGTGTACAACATGTTTCTTTCAAAGAAGCACTAGGTCTCCCAGTGTCCTTAGCCCACAGTCAAGCTGGACAGGGAGAAATTTCATTTTCTTCCCAGACTTTGTATTCCAGTATTCATTAGTGTTGTCTTTAATTTCAGCTGTGGCCAGTTTGTGTTTTGGCCTAGTTGGTCCCCTGTTTTCACCCCATGTTATGCAATATTATTACATAGTCCTGTTTCAGTTTAAGTAGCTGCCATATGTTTATAAGGAGGAGTTTATAACCTTATGGATAATCTCTCTGTCACTGAAAGCAATTACATGCTGTTCACCTTAGATCTGTCTGGTCTGAGTTAAGTACTGCAGCTGAAACCTCCTTTGGATTGCATGCTTCTTCTTAGCATGTGCATAAATTATTGGCAGATTGGTCAAGTCGCTCCAGAAGGCCCCTTTGAGCCCTGTATCTGCCTTTGCTAATCTGTGTAGTTGTAAGTTAGTGAGCCTGCAGTGATATGTAGATCATGGTTAAGGGAGTATTCTATTTAAATGGACCTTTTTAGCTCACTTCAGTGGAAGATTTAATTGGATTTCATTTTTTAAAGTAATTCTGGCCAATTATTTA